GCAGAACAGGCAGATCGAGGAAGTACACTGCTGAGGGGAGCAGTGGGCGGGTCAGGAGAGGTCTGCCATGGCTTTAGCTTCTTAGTGCTGTGCTTTAACCAGCTGTGCCACCAGGCAGGGCCCTGAATAATTAAATCTTTAAAAAAAAAAAGAAGAAGAAGAAGAAGAAAAAGAGGAAGCAAAAATGAGCCTGAGGCTCATAGTCAAACACAGTTACCAAAACCCAGTTCTGTCTGGCTCTAAAGCAGCACCTCTTCTGCTGCCTAGAGTCTAGAAAAGTTGTTCATATTGTGGGTTGGCTCTTTGAATCATTCCATAGAATTAAATGAATAATGAGTTAAACCTGATGGAAAGCCTTTAATTCAGCATAATTTTAATACAGAAGCTTGAGGAGAACCTGTTTGATGACTTGAGTTTGACCCTTCAGGAACAAAGAGAATGTGACAGAACTTTGTGCTTTTGCAGAGTTCATAGGCCAGTAAAAAAGAGTTAACAAGTGCAAAATGAAAAAACGTAACAAAGAAACAAAAAAGGAGAGAGCCAATGAGAGGAAGAGGACACCCCCTTTACCTTAAACTCAGCTTCTGCCTTCCAGAGCTCGTAGCTTTCCCCAGCCTTAAGCCACCTGCCATGTGGAACCAGATCACAAAACAGGGGCTTCCTTCAATCATCTGTGTCCTCCAGCCTGGAAATGACTATTTTTAAAAATAATATAATAGTTTATTTTTACATCATTGTGTGCCTTTTTCCATCTCAGTTGTAATCCCCGTGGGCTTCCCATCACCAAATCACCCATATGCCATCACCATATACCAGTGCACTAGCCCCACCCCCATTTTTGATCCCATTCCCCACTCCACCCCTCTAAAATGTCTCCGATATATAGCTGTTCATTATTATTATTATTTTCTCTCCTGGTCCGTTATACTCCTGCTGTGAGTGAAACCATCCAGTATTTTTCCTTTTCTTTCTGGCTTATTTCACTAAGCATGATCTTCTGGAAATGACTTTTGATTGCAATGTTAAGGAACGCTTAGGAGCCTGGACTTGGCTATTACCTGCAGCCACCCTGTTTCAGCAAGGGGTTACTTATGGGTTAGTGCAAGCCACGTGCTAATGCAACCAGAACAGAGGCTCAACCCCAGTGGAGTGGAGTTCTGTTAAGCGGTGGCCAGTTCTAGCCCCAGCTGACCTTCTCACAACTGTGTGCTCTTGCTCAAAGAGGACACGAAAGGAGAGTGCAGGTTGCCATTTAGGAGGCTCTCACAGTGAGGACATGTTGTTCCAAACATTCAGTTCACAGCAGACAGCCGGTGTCATGTCTTGCTGATGGGGAATAAGCACTATTATCTTCTTAGATGGAAGCATAACATTCTTTCCACCTTGTACCTCAGTGAGGAGACAGCCTGCCTCTGATTTTTATAGCACTTTGATGCCAGGGGTTGGGGCTCCCAGGGGGACCGCTTCATGGCAGCTGCCTCCCTGCTGTTGCTCTCTCCAAACCGGAAGGCTCATCCTTCCAAACCGGTGAAATTCACGTACTACTTGGCATCCTGTGCAGGAGAAGAGGCTGCCTATGGAGAGAGGGCCACACCTGTCTGAAACCTTCTTTTCTACAGCCGAACCCATAAGGTCCTTGGACTTTGACTGAGGGGCCCTCCTTGGTTAAAAATACCAACCTCTTGAGTTTCGTCTACTGGTTGGGGGGGGAGAGGGAGCAGTCTCTGGATGTATTCCCAGGGTGACCCCTCTGTCTGTTCCAGGTGGGGGTTCGGAAAAGATTATCTCTACTCAAGGGCTCTTCTAGCCCCAGAACTGGGGGATTCAGGCACCAGGGAGTAATAATTCCAACGGAAAGCATCCTTGCCCCTCTCTCATTTCTAGATCAATCCACAAATTTTTCCATAGGCACCCTATGAGTATTGTCACATAGTAAAGGGTCCTCCTTTTAATGAAATGTGTAGACTTTGCTGCCATGGATGTGCCATCTCCCTGCCAGCTTATTCCCATGGAGCCCACAAAGGTGCTGTTAGACTCTGCAGAATCCCTAGCACAAGTTTCCCTGGGGCCGCGTGCACATCCAGATTCTCACAAGGATGGTGTGATCCAACAGCAATAACCCTGGACTAGTTTTTTTTTTTTCCTGGAAATATATGTGCGTGTGTGTGTGTGTAATAGTTTATTTTACATCATTTTGTGCATTTTCCATCTCATTTGCAATCCCTTTGGGCTTCCCATCACCAAATCACCCATGTGCCATCACCCTGGACTAGTTTTTAGGGGCTCTTTGAATGGCATCAAATTCATGACACGATCAACGTCCCCTTTTCTTGTGTCCCCCATCCCACTTTTTCTGTGGAATTTGGATTTCCCTGGCTAACATAGCACCTAACAATATCACTATTGAAAGCACATCATGTTAAGGACCATATGCTCTCTCTCTCTCTCTCCAGAGAGTGTGCACAAATACTATTTCTGTGAAAAACTAAACAGAAATAGTAGCTTTGTATATTTCCCATTCAAAGACTTCTCCCAATTGAATGATTTCCTTTGTCATAGAGTGTTTTTCCCCAAGCGGGCCCTAATAGAGAATCTGAATCAGATATTGTGAGTTACCAAAGGTCACAGGAATCCTCTAGTGAGCTAGAAATAGAATCCAAAAAAACTTTTATTTTGAATCCCTGAATTTAAAAACAAATAAACTCCACTGCAGCGAAAGAGAAACTAGATTTGTTTGACATTCCTGGTTCAGGGATTCAAAGCAACCAAAACTAACAGGCAGCTGCTGGCTCAGTGAGGGCTGAGGAGATAAAAACACAAGCGCTGCTGCCTTCAAGGAGCTGATCGTCCAGTATGGGGAGATGACATCACTGTGAAAACTCCCCTTCCAACGCACAATGTGCTTACAAACACCCAAGGGACTCTAAGGGTGATCTTGTCCCTTCTTCATAGCCCATGGTAGTCAGCATGGTGCAGGCCCATGCTATTTGTTGAATGAGGGTCATAAGAGAGGTACCCACAGAACATTCTGGGGGTTAGTGGAGAATGAGGGACAGCTTTGTGAAGGAGGTGACATTTGAGCTGTGCCTGGGTGAATGGGGAGGTTTCTTCACAGGCAATAGGGACTAGGGGAGGGCCCTTGGCAGTTCCCGGAAAGGGCTATGGCAAATATCCTGAGGACAAAGCTTGGCATGATTGGGGAGAGCACAGAGCAGGTCAGGGTGGTAAGAGAACAGGAGGGTTGCTGAGGTCGGTGAGAAAAGATGAGACCTGAGCAGAGAGAAACTTGAACAACAAGCAACAGAGTGTTGCGGTGGACAGTCACTGGAGGTTTGGAAAGGGCAGTGACACCAGCCTGACAGGCCAGCCTGCTGCATCATCCTGCTTGCCCACCTGAACCTCCTTGGCCTTGGTGCTTACGGTGGGCGGGGAGGGGGGGATGGGAGGAGGCTTCTTTTGATTGTTCTGTTTGTATGTGGCTTGGTTTGGAGGTTTTCTGTGGTTTAGTTTGTTTTTTGGCCTTGCCCTTTTCCTACAGTTTTTCACGGCATATGGTCCTGATTATGTGCTAGAAATCACGCCAAGCTGTCGGCCAGACCGCAACGAGCACCACCGAGTCCAGCAAATCCTCAACTACATCAAAGGTGAGCACCACCCTGAGTCCTGCCCTCCTCGTTCCACCCAGCTTGTGGTGCTCCATCAGCGGGGACTTCCCTGAATACCATTTGTCTTGGTGACTAATCATTTCACTAACTTGGAAAGGAAACCCCTTCTTAGCCCACCAGCTTGTGGCTGGAATTCCACTGACCACGCAGATTGGGATTGTCATTGGGCCTGGCTAATGTCACCTTCAGAAGGACAAAAGGTCCAGCTTTAAGCACCTCCAGAGGAAACCAATTCTGAAGTATGCCCTGGAACCCATTTAATTTTAGGGGGAAGGGGGATTATAGTAAAAGCTTCCGTAAGATGAGTGACGTTCAAGTCAATTCAGACTTGGGGAAGAAAGAGGTCTGTGGTGGTGGCTCTTAGACATTCCACACCAGTGTGGTTCCTTGATCCCATAGGCCCTTGAGAGATTGAGTCTCCAGTGAATTCTGGTGCCCTTAGAGCAGGTTCCTCATATCACCCAGCACTCCAGAGGTGGTCTGCTGCTCTATCGTTCTTTTCCCTAAGGCTGCTCTAGAATATTCTAGCCACTACACAGAGGAAAATGGCCATCATCAGAGCTGCCCTCTTGATCACATTGTCCACTAGCTATTTAGGGATACTGTCATCAGCTTTCCAATAGAGCCTCCTCCCAACTCCAGCTGCTGCTTCACAACTCAACTCACTTCATCTACCTTTTTTTTTTTTTCAAAGTATTTTTGGCACCCATTTTCCTGTTTAATTGAATTTGCATGTATGTGTGCATATTCTTTGGGTCCTAATTATTTGCAGAGTTAAGAGGCCAAGGGTATCGTATTGCCCATCCTGGAGAGTGAAATCCCCATGTTTATTCATGTAACGACCAAGCTAGCACCAGTTCTCCTACCTTTCAATCCCTCCTTGGAATAGAATCCAGCATGAAAGGGAGGCCTGTTCTGTGCCAGAGTTAGTCAGAAGGAACATACGCGTCCTAGGGGTCTTTGCCAAAGGTTGTATTAAAGCCCTTACCTCTAGCAGAGCCCAGTCTGTGACAACAACTGAGTTGTAGGCAGAGACTCTATGTCCTAGAATCCTTTGGCCAGAGAAAATTTTCTGAGTTCATAAGTCATCGACTCATAAGTTTATGCTCATAGCAATGTTTATGGCTTCTCTGAGGTATCCCGAGTCCTCAGCTTCTCCCTGACCCAACGTTTCCCTCTGGCCCCTCAGTAGCTACTGACACACAAGTACTCACTTCCTAACGAACCTCTCCTCCGCTGCCCAGCCTTTAAGGCCTTTAAAATCCTATTCCTAGTCCTCCTCCAACACCTCTCCATGCAATGGCCCTGATTAACCCGCCTGCTCTGGACTTAGCCTGCTTCCCTCAGACCCAGGACACAGTCCCAAAGGGTCTGCTCCTGGACCAGCTGCTTTTACCCCTCTTCCTTGAGCCTTGCCATTTCCCCCCAGCTAGGTTCCACATCCTGGTAGAGCAAAGACAGAGCAGCAGAAAGAGAGTCACTAAACAAGCAGCTGCAGCTACTTGCTCACAGCCTGTGTGCCCCAGGTTTCCCTTCACACGTCCCCAGGCCCATGCCTCCAGAGTGGTGACCTCTTGCTATTGAGGAAATGGGAGTAACAAGTGGGAGAAGACATAGGAAGGTAATTCAAAGGGGAAAGAACTAGGAAAGGTAAGAAACCCTAAAGAGGCTAAATCTAAGAAGTCTTGAGATAAAACACTAGGCTGAGAAAGATTGGTTTAAAAATCTTAGAGGACAGGTAAGTTGCATGGAATGAAGTTTTCTTTTCTTTTCTTTTTTCTCGTTTATTTTAAGATGAAGTACTATTTTTCTTACATCATCGTTAGTTTTTGGACAGTGTTTGATTCCCCCCTCTCCCCCCGCCGGGGAACTATCCCCAGAGTTCTCCCACTACCAAACTACGTGTAAACTGTTACCATAGTCTTTTGTGGAGTCAAGACCTTTTGAAGCAATATTCTGATAATAACACAATGAAGTGAAACTGGGAGGAACTGTATGAACCAGGAATGGGGTCCTCAAAAGCAAACGGGCATATACAAGATGGGAAAAAGACTTGGCAGTATTTTGTCTGAAAGTGAGTCCAGGATTTTAGTCAACATGGAATCCAGTGAGTCACCGGGGCAAGGTGGCCTCCTGCTGCAGTATCGACCTCACTTTAAGAGGGCTCTAGACAAACAGAAGCATTTTCCAGGAGGTCAGTCAGGATGGAGAGAGGAATGGAGTGCAGGCTCCCCAAGGTCTGGTGGGAGGAGCTGGAATATTTGGAGATGAGATGATCCAGAGTGACGTAGTCTCTACTTCATATCTCTGAGGAGCTGTCACAGAGCAGAGAATTTAGCCAGTGTCTGTGTAGTCACACGCACAAAGCTGGACTCCCAGGTAGATATTATAAAGAGCAATATTTTCATTCAGTAAAAGAACTTTCCAATAATTAGAGCTGTCCATTATGGAACTGGCTGCCCAGAAAAGAATGAGGTCTCTCCCACTGAAGAGATACAAGGAGGGGACTTCACTATCATATGGGAGAGGGGCCCCTGCATTGGACTACATTGTTAAGATTCCTTCCAGGCCTAAGATTTTAAGATGCTGTATGTTAAAATGAGAAAATAGGGGAAAAAAACAATAAAAAGAGTATGATGACAGAGTAGGGGTTGATAGATGAGTCATAGTTGTTGGCGGACAGTGGGGGGTAATATAATGCTGTGTATGAGAAAGAATTGATGAGGAGGAAAAAAAAAAAGAAACTAAATGACTGAGAGTGGGTGGGAAGAGCCAGGGAGGGCAGACAGCAAATAAGGTGGCTATAGAATACGAGGGATGTTCAGATTTTCCGTTTAGCCTTCCCTTTCCTATTGACAAAGTCCTGTGTTTTAGCCATGCAAATGAACAGAACACACAAATCCCGAACGGAAAAGAAATTCAGCTAACACTAGAAGAAATAAGGCTAGAAAGAAATCCAAATGTTGCTAAAAATGGCCAGCTAACCTGCCATACTGAGACCATGCCCCTCCAGCCTGGTGACGCAACTGCCATCACAGTGTGTTGCCATGACAATGGTCAGTGTGGAAAGGCTGCTGAATTTTCTGCATTCTGAGAGATGTTCCTGAACCTGCCTGCAAGACTGTCATTTGTTCTGGCATATAAGGACCTCAGTGAAACTGGCCATTTCTTACCATGTTTCCCATCCCCACCCCCATCAAAAACAAAGTTGGAGGGAAGAAGTGCAGATCGATTTGGGAGAAGTGAGACAGCAATGGAGGAGGAGATGCACTCACATCCTCTTGTGGGAGGGAGTTTGCCAGCATGTTTTGTCTAGCTGAATTTGCTTAGCCTTTGGCCTTGGGTTTTTTCTTTTTCTCACCACATCCCTTAGAAGCACATAATAGGATTTTTTTAACCTATTGGAAATCAAACTTGAGAAGGCTCATCTTAGAGAGACACCTTCCATATGCCACAGGCTGACTGAAGGAATAGGTGTATTGAAACCTCACCTTATCCCGTCTTTACTGTCCATTAGTCTTTCCAAGAAGACACAATTAAACATGAAGAGTCCACTTAAGCCATTCCCTTTCTACAGAGAAAAGCTCTGTTTTGCTCTCCCATAAGTTGCTTTTCTCATGCCAATCGAGCTTGAAAATATGTGTCATTGTTCACAAGGAAGCATGAGTTAGAAAACAGATGGCTCAGGTAGCTTCTGACCATCCTCCTGCACCCAAGCTCCTCTGCCATTCCTCTGGCTGATGTGATTCAAAGGTATTGGCTCACCATGAACCTCCCAGTGTTGGAAAAGTGCTGGTGTAGTTAACCCCAGAAGGCTCGCTCCCCGGCCTGGCTCCCTCCGCATGAAGAAACAGCGACAGAGGTCTCATCCCTGATACCACTGACATTTGAATGAAGTAAAGGTCCCTCGGGGCTCAGAGCTTCATGTTGCAACCCAGATCCAACCTTCTGTGGGGGCATGAGGTGGGCCCACGTGAGTCTGTATTGGAGTTGTAAGCAGAGATTTCTACACTTGCTCTGAGTTCCCAGACTTTACCCCAAGTTCGCCTGGGATAGAAAAAGAAACATGGTGCAGGAGGTAAGGAGGGGGAGAGGGAGAGGAGGGGAAGGATGGAGAGAAGTGAAAGGCATCGTGCATATCTGCCTTTTCTGACCCTTAATGATGGGGCAGAAAGACTGGGCTTGAGGAGATGGGCCAGCAAACTGATGTGGATGTGGGGAGAAATGACACAGGTGAAATAAGAATAATAGCTACTATTTATATTACAGATGAGAAAACTGACTCAGAGAGGATCAGTGACTTGACAAGGTCAACCTTTATTCTCTCGCTCAGCAAGTAATTATTAAGCTTTCTATGTGCTACACACTATGTTAATAAGTAGTAGAGCAGACGTTTCAACTGAGATCTGTCTGAAATGGAGTCAGACCAGCCTTTCTAGTGCCCTTCTCTCCTCGGTGGTGTTGCCCCATCGAGTCCACTCATCACCCCCATCTGCTTTTTCTAGTCACCCTTGCTAAATCCTTCCCACCCTACACCACACACCAGCTCCTTCCATGTAACTGACCCAAGCACCTGAGATGTGATGTTTGCCTGGACATGGATGGAGGGCGGCCATGGGCAGCATTTAAAATTCTGGCTCCTGACTGAGGCCATTGGCCCCTGCTCACCCCCGCTCCCACTGAGTCCCTACCACCCCATCATGCTATGATCTGAAGCTTCCATTTCAAGCTGAGTAGTAAAAGAGAAGGGCAAACAGTGTAAGAAGCCAACCAACCCAGCCTCTGCTGTCTCAAGCGTGGTGTGACCACCGGCCCAGTCTGCCACCTACAGCTCCACGGCCCCACAGTGAGACCCTTTTCACACTCGCCAGTAATACTCTGAAGCACCATCGTGCTGGCTGTAAGGAGTATCTCCTCTGGTGGCCCGAAGTCTGGGATCTAGGAACTAACAATTGGGGCATCAGGTCTGCACATGTCCA